CACAGTGACAGTATTATTTGCTTGATAACGTTTTGGGCATAAATTATTGCTGACAGACATATCACTGTAATCATACTGCTCTGGACATCTGGCTTTCACAGTCCCATCACCCCCTACTCCTTGTTTTTATTATTGGTAAAAAAATCTTAAGTCTTTGGTATAGATGTTGTATTATTCATTTTTGATGTTTTGTGTGTGTGTTCGATAGATAATGATTCAGCACACAATCTCACCCTGCAACTAATTACACTGGACTTAAGTAGAGTGGTTCATTTCACCCTGTTGTGTGGTTATGTCAATGCATGGATTGCAGTAACTCAGAAGTTTCCCAGGTCACTGAATCTGTTGGGGCTCTGTTATTTCATATTGAGCTAAATTCTTATGTTCCGCCAGTCTAACGGATTTCAACAGGCTAGTTCGACTTGTTTACTTGGCCTCACGGTCATTGCATGGAATTTGGTTGACTAGATTATTTTGTTGATTTGGATCTGACTGATTCTTGGATCGAGAACCCTTGTCCTTGAGTGAGTTTGCAGGTTTAAATGCCCCCTAATACAGTCTTGCTCAGAATCCTACTTAAAGTGTCCGATATTTCATCCATATATGGGAACAAAATAGAAGCTTTGAACTTAATTCTACTCATGTTACCGCTGTTATTCATATTCGTATAACTGTCACCATTACGTTCCTTATCTGTCTGTGCGAATTTCAGAATAGACGACAGGGGATGGTTATTAACTATCAGCACTTCTTTCATATGATTCAATTCCTTCAGTAAGTCCTTACAATCTCTAGTGAGACTTTTAGCTCTTTCATCTAGACATTTGACCAAACCTGCTTTAAGTCACATTGGATGAAATGACCTGGGGTCCGGGCACCTGCCAGAATAACTTGGTTTCCCAAAGATGGTAGTATCCGAACCACAGTCTGTCTCTTGTTTTATTCTGCAGTCCACAATGGGTAATTCTCCTCATCCGCTTTCCACCTAGTAATTGGATTGGATTGCGTCTAATGCTGAGTTAAACGTTTGAGAAAACTATCAGCGCGTTCTGATTTGAACACGATAAATGTGCCTTCCATATGTCGCCAACCAAATCTTCGGTGCGGGACAAAATTTTCGTAAAGCCGACCACTTATAAATGTATCTGCTACGACTAGGGATATTGCAGATCCCAATGCTACTCCACCTGTTTATCCCTACATTTCTTCTTGAAGCTTGCGGACTGGAGGCCAGGCATAGCTGTAAGCCCAATTTGATCTCATCAACCGATATCTTAGTCCTGTGAATAAGTTCGGAGTCAATATCTAGTTGATTTTCGACTTCCTGCAGTGCTACATTGATTGATATTTTAATGCAAAGACTTGTCACACCGAAGCCAGCAGCTTTTTCCGCCAAGCCTCAATTTTAACTTCTAGTAGGACGTATTATTGATGTTAAGTGCTATGACAGGTCATATGCTAGGCTATTTCGAGAGTCAACTACCAATCTACGGAGATAAGCTGGTCCATGAACCTCGACAGTACTGTATATTCTGCCAGGATTATTGGTTTTGGACAATGAACTAAACCATTTAAACTCAAACAGAAATGGTTTCGGTAGGCGTATCAGACTGGCCTTGGAATTCTGAATTTTATTCATGGCGGTGTCTATATCACTTCATCTGGTCCTATTTGGGCACTTTGGTCAACTTTATTGAGATAATCCGATTTCAGCATAGCTACTATTGAAATACCTCTGCCAAATTTAGCGTTTACTATGCTCTTATCACTTTGCAGGTGATTTAAGGCTGAAATACCTAGTTTCCTTTATTTTCGGTGTCTGACTGCCACTACCCGACTGGTTCACTTGAACATGCGTCCTATGAATTTGAAAGTTGTTGACTATCAGCACTTCTTTCATGTGATTCAGTTCCTTGATTCACTACTTCCAACGGCTAGTGAGAAGTGGCTTCTTCACCCAAACATCCGACCAGACCCGCCTTTACTGAATAGGCAAAAGAAGACACAACAGTGCCTGCAAACATGTTATGTAAACTTAATGTGGTGTGAATGACATCACTGGTCATTATTTTGTTTAAATATTGTGCGAAACGAGTATTTTTGACGTTAATTTCATTCACTGTGGCGTTGCTTTTACCGAAGAGTTCTACTTCTCATGCGGTGTGTCGGCTTGCCTGGCCACGCAAAAGTGGGTGCTTCATTACTAACCCCCTGTTTGTCAACAAGCTTGCAGCAGTTGTTCACGGCATCGTCACTGTGTGCAGGTAAGCTACCCACTAATTACCATTATTATTATTTGTCCCTTGGGTTGCTAGTCGAACACAGGGCTTCATTAGCACGTCTCCATTCCACTCCCTCGTCTGCAGTCTCTTCAACCTGGTCCCACGACCCCCTACAAGCTTCCATTTCTTCTTCACATGATCTCCCCCGTATTGCCCTCACCTCGGACGCCCAACTCGTTCTTTCCCCTTCGATTTCTACTAGACGGCCTGATCTGGCCCGATTCGTGGTGTCTCCGAGTGGTTTTCTCAGTTTATGCTCAATTCATCCCCACTTTCTTTTTCTGCATATTTGTTGGGTCGTAATTCCTTGGTTGGTTCGTTGCGTGGCCGGAGTTCCTTATTGCTTATTCTTGTTATTCTGGCCATCTGATCTTTAGTGCCGAGCGTAGGCAGTTGTTGATGAATGTCTATAGTTTGTTGGAAATGCTTTTCGTAACGTGCCAAGTTTCTGAACCATCACACAGGAGCACTGACTTACTCGGCAGTATCGTTGAAAATTCGGATCTTGTTCTTTATGCTGAGTGGAGTGTAGCAGATCTCCACACTGATTTCAGATTAACGAAAGCCTGTCCTGCTTTTCCGATCCTGGCCTTGATACCCCCATCTGTGCCGCCGCCTGCCCATTAATAATGTGGGCCTATAGTGATCCAGGTGCATCCTACAAAACATTTTGTTTTTGGCACTTAATATATGCTTGCGATGTAGTGAAAAATTAGTTGAAAGGTTGAAGGAAGGCAGTAAATTTTTAACCTTCTGAAGCACCCTCATATATTGTTGTATTCCCTATTTGCGCCTTTATGTTCTGAGTAGCCTTGCTATTAATCACACAGACTCACGGTGGATGGTTAACAACCATGCACTGCATGCTTCTTCACCCATATAATGAATGGGATTGTGCATGCATCACAGCATTATTGCATAACGGTGGAGCTTCAAAAGCAGTTTTTGAATTCATTTTTACAGAAATAAATTTGCTGAGTACCCCAGCATAACGAAGCGTGCGCAGGGGACGTCGACGATTTGCCGTTAGCCTCTCGTCTACCTACTGTCGGAGAGGAGCTGAAAATTCTTCTCGATGCCGTGTATCTGGACTACGTGAAGCTGAAACAGCCGACATATGCTAGTCAAGAAGGCCGTTATGGGGGTAGCTGCTTGCTGGAATAAAAAGTTTCTGACAATACAAGGTTGGTAGAATTTCACCTTCAGAAAAAAATTAGAAAGATGTGTGTGAATTTTACGAGTGCAACCCCACCAAAGCAGTCACTTGTGGCTGTGAAGGACGATGGCTGCTGATACGTGTCCCGACTACGCAAGCGAAAGCTGGGTAACTTAAAAGTTTTTTGGTACCTTGAACAAGGTTTCGGAGTCCTAGCAGGTCAGCAAGTAGCAAGAACATTGTTTCCGACAAACATTTTACGCCTGAAATATTCAAAGCATTGTAAGAATTATCAAAGATCACAACGTATAGCATCCCAATGAACAGACGGATATATTACTAAATAACAAACGTCCATATGAGCTAACTATATTGGCTGGTCATAAAGCACACTTCGAACATTGAACACTTTTGTTCCCAACAGTGGACCCTATCTATGTGACATGAGGTGAAAATCCATGCCCATTTCATGAATTGCAGCAAGTTTTAATAAGATTGCGCACATCAGTGACTTCATATGTGAACTATTTAATACTAAATACCATTACGTGAACTTCCAAATCTGGAGACAAGGCTAGTGTCAGCAACTACAGACCCATCAACATAACCCCAGTCCCATAGCGAATCATGGAGAAAGACGTAAGAGACAGAATGTCTGAATACCTACCCCTGCATGATTTCAGAACGAAGTCACACAAAGCTGTTATGAAAAAAAGTGCATTACGCAACACTTCGACTTCTCCAAAACCATTACCAGCATCTGTGCGGCACACAAAAATCCGTGTTCTGTACTTCGACATATCCAAGAAAAAAAACAATGGATGGGAGGTGATGGGGCTGTGAAAGCCAGATGTCCAGAGCAGTATGATTACAGTGATATGTTTGTCAGCAATAATTTATGCCCAAAACGTTATCAAGCAAATAATACTGTCACTGTGCGCTGCATCGAACAAACAAATATAATATGGACAGGATGATGGTTAGTGATGAGCGTGGTGATTGAGAATGCTTATTAATTCGTGGCATGATATTTGGAGGACAGAGTGTGTGTGGTAATTCGTTACAACCGACCTAAAGTCAACAGAATTTTAACGGATCTGGCTAATCGCAACACTGTGGATAACTCCAGAAGCCGTGGCCCTTTTTCTGTTTGACGTGTGAAGAGCTGGTAGTTGAAGTCTACTGGATGAGGATGGCGCTTGCAGGATGAGAGAAGGGATTTTGTAACGAGACTTGAACAGGATGGTAAGGGCCTACTTAACTCGAAAGACAGACAGGGTTTTAGTATTGAATGCCGCATTGTGCTTGCATGTGTTGTGTTCGTTTTTACCTTTCACAACTTGTGTCTGTTTTCTGTTTGACGACTGGCAATTACAGTTCGGTTTTCTTGTTGGTTGTTTTGAACGTCGTCGAGCTAACCAGAGCTAAGGCAGGCTAGTGGGTAGATCCAGTGCTTTGGAATCCATCAAAGGCCTGGAGCCATTCCTCAAGACCTAGAAGCGAAGAAACCAATTTGTCTGCACTAGCTCATAAGAAGATATTCGAAATTGGGTTACACTGTTGTGTGGGGTTTTGATTCTCAAGGCCGTCAGTATGTTCAGCTCCTGAAAGTTATACGATGGTTGTCGGTCTGCTATGTGTGTTTTCATCTTTTCTACATATGACTCAAACTCCATATATTCGAGATGGATTTTATCGATATGGACTGAATCGCCTGTGAACTTGGAGGTGTGGAAGCACCATATATATATGTATATATATATATATATATATATATATATATATATATATATATAACTATGTTCATATACCTCACATACAGAGCTAGGTTTTGCGACGGTTGCTGTACGATCCCAACACCGCACGCGCTTTGAAAACAGGAAGTGAATTTTATCACGCTTTCGACATTTTGCGTTTTGATGTCTAATCCACCCAGTTAAATCATATTGCGGAAATAATGATGGCGAATGTGTGAATAAGGGGGTAAATGACCTTGATATTGTAAGCGAGGCGTAGGTAGTAGGAACTGAGTTCAAAAATTTACCTGAACCGCCGAAATAATGCGGATAGTGTTGAAATAAGGCGGGCATTGTGCTTAAATAAATCTGCGTCTACGCATGCACGCTTAAACTCTACAAGTTCGTAAACTATGCAGGTAGTCCGTAAAACTCCGCTTAAGTGTCGCATTTCAGCACTCCTAATCAATGCATTGGCCTGCATTATTTCCACACTCGCACGCATTATTTCAGCATTCGTGTTTGACTGGGCACATCCTAGGCTTTCTTACAAACCCTGACTTGAGGTAATTGAGTCGGTGTTTGGAGTTTAGTCATCTTGAGCCTTAAGGTTGATTTTTGTGTTGTCACAACTTAAGTGCTTGCGTCTAAATTTTGACCGTATACTTCAGTTAGAACACGGTACTAATGAAAACGGAATTGTGAATAACATGGTTAGCGATAATCATGTTTGTAGTCGTCCCAGCTGTAAATTTCCAGTCGACGAAGGTGTGCAATGTGATGCATGTGGATGTTGGTTCCACAAAGTTTGTACCGGATTGACACCAACCGCGTACAAGCGCTGCAGCAAACCAACTTCTCCCTGACTGTGTGATTTCTGCTGTAAGCCGTTGTCAGCCCTAATCCAGGAAGCTGTTGAAATGTTACTTATCAAAAAACAGCCATGTGGAAATGATAACTGTCATTCCAATGCGGCATCAGGTGATGACACTGCAAATGTTATTGATAATGCATCTGACACGGGATCTCAGAGTGGACCATTGGATACTAGTAATTTAATCGGTGAGACTACACCGGTTCCGATGCGTACTCGATGCAAGAGAAAACCAAGGGCAACTGGTGCACCAACTACAATCCCTAAGGATTCGCCAAAGAACAACATCTCTGCTAACAGTGTTGACTCTATGAAGGTGGTCAACGAATCTGCTTGGATTTCTCCAAGAAACGATTCAAAGGAACCTCCAAAGGTTATCACTGAAGCTACCAAGCTTATGAAACCTGTCGAGAACGTTTCGAAGGCCGTCAACACGTGACTCAAGGATTCCACACCAATGCCCAGGGTGATTTTCCGGAATGTTGGGGAGTCATCGAACAAAGATCCTTCAATACGCATGGCCATGACCCGAAACCAGTCGAGTCGGCTACCAGACATATTCTACCTGGAATGTCGAAGGGATTACACATCTCCAAAGTAGTCAGACTATGTAAGAAAAAGGATGAAACACCTCATGAGAAGAGGATTTTAAAGGTTGTTTTACGCAACAAAGAAGAAGTGGATGTACTCTTGAGTAAGGTATCCAAACTACAAAATTTAGGTAGCTGCATCCGACCCGACTGACCTCTCGGGGGTTGAATAAAAGAAGAGAAGCTGTCACCGAATTTAAGGCTCGACAAACTAATGAAGAAAACAATATTAAAGTATTAGGTTTTCGGGTTGTGAGGTCTTGAAAGCGAATGTCGCACAGGTGGTGGCATACTACCCTATGTCCGGGATTACATCCACACACCCGATCAGTCACGTCCGAAGCACATTAATGCGGGACCTGTGAAGTGGCCAATTGCGAGTTGAGGTCAGGGCAAGGTTTCTGTGCCATTGGGGTCATTTACCGTAGACCATCCTGCCTTTCAAATGACTTCGCGCTAACCCATATGCGTAACTGGAGTAGAGGCAATATATACCTAATTGTTGGCGATCTAAATTCTCCACACATAAACTGGATGGAGCTAAGAGTCTCAGCATCGACCAGTTCCTTCGAATATGGCTTACTTTTAACAGTTCTAGGATCTGCTTTAGTTCAACTTGTGCAACACGATACGATTTTGAACACAAGTCATCGTTATTAGATTTAGTTTTAACCCACCAATGTGAAGATATTTTGGATCTACGACACTTCCCTCCATTAGCTAACAGCGATCACGTAGTGCTAACCTTCGGTTTTTGAACTTATGAGTTTAGTTATGATACTGCTTCCCCTAGACCTAATGTATGGCGGGCAGACATTTCAAGCACAAGGAATTGCGCAGTCATTAAGTATTGGACCATCGACAAGGACTCATCAATCGAGAACGCATGGGGTAGGTTTAGGACTCTATTTGAAGAGGTAACAACGACATTTATCCCATAGTCGACTCTACGAAGATCCTCACATCGTCCTCCATAGTTTAATAAAGACACTCGGAAACTGTTAAGGCGGAGGAAACGTTTATGGTACTTGCTTATAGAAATTGGACTGGGAACATTTAAAACTGGGTACTGTAAAGTCCATAATCTCTGCAAAACTTTGATTACACAGTCTCGAATGTCCTACAAGAAACAGTTTGTAAATGATTGCCCAAACTTCCCTAAGAGACCTTTCGCACTCATTATTATTATTATGTCCCTTGGGTTCCTAATGAACATAGGGCATCAGTAGCACGTCTCCACTCCACTCTCTTCTCTGCAATCTTTTGAACCTGGATCCACGACAACCCACAAGCTCTCAGTTCCTCCTCGCACCATCTCCTCCATGTCACCCTCGACACGGATGCCCAACTCGTCACTTCCCATCGGGGTTCCACTCGAGCAACTGACCTGACGCGTGATGTCCCCAGTCGGCCTTCTCACTGTATACCCGACCCAATCCATCTCCACTGCCTTCAACTGCATATTTGTTGAGCGATGGGTTGTTGGTTGTTTCCTTTCCAGTCGAGAGTTCCTTGTTGCTTATTCTTACTAGTCTGGCAATCCATCTGATCTTCAGTAACAAGCCAGCGTGGGTGGCAGTTGTTGATGAATGTCTGTGGTTAGTTGGGAATGCCTTTCGTAAGGCGCCAAGTCTCTGACGCATCACACAGAAGCACTGACTTGACTGAATTGGTGTTGAAACTCCGGATGTTGTTCGCGCTTTGTGGTGAGTGCAGAAGATCTCCACACTGGTTTCAGGCTAATGAAGGCCTGTCTTGCTGTATTTCCGATCCTGACTTTGACATCCTCGTCTGTGCCTGTGCCACCACGTGTAGTTGAAACAGTGCTTCCTAGATAGGTGTAGGTGAAGGAGGCTACTTCCTTTAAGTTTCTCCCGTTGATAGTGATTGGAGTTTGTTGTTGTTGGTTGGGTATCTTCATCACCTCTGTCTTCTCTATATTCACTTGAAGTCCCATCTTCGCTGCCTTGACTCTTCTGTCAACTTGTTAGTTTTCACCTGTACATCTTCAAGTTTGTGCGGAAAGACATTAGACACAAGTCATCATTGGCGAAATCCAAGTCTTCTAGGTCATTTTCCGCGGTCCAGCGAATCCCCCTCCTCTCACAGCTCCTCACTGTTTGTTGTATGATCCAGTCGACCACAACACAATCAAGAATATAATGGGTGATAGTAGGCAGCCTTGTTTTACTTCTGTCTTCACTTCAGAGGCATCACTGAGCTGAGCTGTCCATTGTGAATTACTTGGCCGACATGTGGCGTCTTCATATAGCTAGTTGTTGAATGAGGCTGATAAAGGTTTGCGGTATTCCGTAGTGTTGGAGCAACTGCCAACTTACTTGTTGGTCGACGCTGTCGAATGCCTTCTCAAAGTCGATTAAGTTGAGGTAAGGTGAAGAGTTGAGTGCCATTCTGTGCTCTGTTCTATGATGATGCGAAGCGTTGCGATTTGGTCTGCATATGATTTGTACTTCCTGAATCCAGCCAGTCTGTTCCAGTCATCATCATCATTATCAACATAGGACCAGGCATTACTGCGTAACGGTCCGAGTTGCCACACCTCATATCAGCACATCAAGTAAAAAGGTAGTGAGGTGAAGGATGAAGATAAGTGAATGCAGTCAAAAGAAATATAAAGTATGAGAAGAAAGGAAAGAGGAGTGACAAAATAGTGAGATTCGGTATAGCGTTGTTAAGATGAGGATAATGTGTGTATACATCTGCGCCACTGACTTCGGTTCTGAGCCATATCACCTAGGGTCTCCAACCACTGGTTCCTCTTGTCCCGTGGACCCCAACCACCTAGTCTGCATCGTCCTACATGGCTTAAACCAACAGTCAGAGACTTCATACATTGGTGCCATGTTTTAGTCTGGCCACCTCGGGCCTTTTTCCAGCCTGAACCCACCTCAGCCAACATTGTGTGACGAGGCAATCGGTGACTAGGCATACGTAGTACGTGTCCCAACCATCTCAGTCGATGAAGGTTCACAACCTCGTCGACTGACTTACCTCTTCTCCCTAAAACTCTACACCTAACTTCTGCATTACTCACATGGTGACACCACGGAATACGTCCTATACTACGAAGGCAACGGTGGTCAAATACCTGTAACCTTCTCATGTCTTCCACTTTCAATGGCCATGTTTCACAGCCATACAGTAGAACAGAGCGGACTGCTGTGCAGTACACGCGACCCTTAATAGACAAACGAATATCACGGCGGCGCCATAGGTGGCGCAAATTGGCAAAAGCCAATCGAGCCTTTTGTATCCGTGCAGAAATCTCATCGGCAACTAACCCACCGGGTTGATCCTACTTCCCAGGTAAGTGAAGTGGTCAACACACTCAACCACTTCACTCTCTATTGTTAACCGCGGTACCGCTGAA